TTTCTTGGCTTCTTTGAAGGAGGATGTTTACCTTTCTTTGGACTTTTGACATTCGAGAGTCTCTTCATCAGCTTTTTGGCCACATGATCCTGGCAGGTACAAATAGTGAAAATAAAAAAATAAGACACTCAAGCTTACATCATGTTGAAAAAAGAGTGGTAGTGAACAAAGGCTACTTACCCACCCACCACATGTTCCTTTAAGCATCGGGTAGTACTCCACCAATCGTTTTGCTATGGCATCAACCTCATGTTTGCTGGGGTATCTGGAGTCCTCAGTTGCTCTTGCTATTGAAATCATGTTGGTCATAGTGTTTCTCACAAGTCGACAAAAGAGTTCCTTTGATAAGGGCTCAGTACGCTGTGTCCCCTGCCGCTTCTGTTCGAAGTAGGACTGTCGAGCTTGCTCAAGTTCACTGTCTGTGAAGATTATGTACTCCGGATTGGACATAGTCACAAACTTGGAAGTGTTGGGTTCCTCTCTAGAGAAGTCACCATCTCCAGTAGTTGTTAGTGGTTTTTCAGCAGTCTCATCCTAAAATACAATGTAATTACACAGGGCTAATTTCACATAAAGTTGCATAAATACTCCAGTTCTCAACATGAAAAAAAGCACAGCAAAATAGCTGTAAAGTGTTGTACAATCAAAAATGTGTGCATTTGATAAATGTGTAGGCCAACTGTTTTAAGCAAAAACTAAAGAAGATGATAAAAATCCTTTCTATTGGGTATCTCTTAAGTGTGTGTTTGTAAAATACCTTGAGACTGCATAGAACAAACTTGTGTGTTTTCATTTTTGTCACACAAAAATAAAATAGAACTTACTTGCTCACACTTGTGCACTGCAAGCCATAGAGCTCGACGCCTAAGGAAATGCTCAGGACCTGGGAAAAGATCTTTGATGTCATCTCGGGAGAGTGATGCCAACAGGTCTTCTCCAACATTTGCTTCTGCAAAAGAAGTATCCAATTATTACTACATTACATAATCCTTATGTGCAGGTCAGCCACACACACACACACACACACACACACACACACACACACACA